TTATATACTGTTTAAAACTTTTTTGAATAGTGATTTTATCTTGGTTATACATCTGATATATCAAATACAGATATGATGCAGAGGTGATAAACCAATTATTAAGTGTCCACAATTTGATTTAATTTGATTTGTTTTGATATTTAATATTAAATCAAATTCAAATACAGAAATTTCAAATTAAATCAAATTCAAATTGATAAGATATTTTATTTATTTGACAAATATTTGAATATTTGATTTAATTTTTATTGAAACTATAAATATAATAGCTATTTATACAAAACTTTATACTGTTATAATACTGTGGCCTTCTTAACAGCAGTACTATAATAATGACACAGCTATAGGGATCCTTCACAGGTTTATAGTGATGTCTAATAGGTAAGTATAATTTCTGCTTCTTGAAAAAACTATACTCTTCTGTCTATAGCAGTTCGAGCAGACAATAGTTTATAGATAAAATATATATTTATTAAAAATAAGTAAGATAGACTATTCTTAGGTTTCTATTTCTAAAGAATCCTATAATATTACAAGAGAGAATTTAGAGAAGAGGGAAGTCTGGGTTTAAGGTAGATAATAAACAGGTCTAATATTAACTTGAGAAAATTTACAGCCTTTTTATATCTTTAAAGCTAATTGCTAATTGTTATAGCTAAACATAGTTTACTTAGTGCTAAACGTTAATTGTAATCATTAATCATTAAGTATTAAATGTTAATCACTAATCACTAAGCATAATTGCTAATTGTTAATTGCTAAACATAGCTAATAGTCACTAATTATTAATCACTAAGCGTAATTGCTAATTGTTAATTGCTAAGTGTAATTACTAATTGTTAATCACTAAGCATTAAGCATTAAAGCTAATCATTAGACATGTCTTTTTAAATTCTTTTTTAAGATATCTATAATAATAACTAATAACTAATAAAATACAAATATTAAAATAATAAAATAATCTTAAGATAAAATAATAAAATAAAACTGTTCTATAACAATACTTTTTTTTATTTTGACTAAGAGTATTTTGATTAGAAAAGCATTTTTTACTTAATATATAAAATTGATTAACTTAGTAAATTTTTTGTAAATTAAAGATTTTAAAAAAATAATGAAATTTTAAAAATTTTAAAAATTTTCAAATACTATTTGATTTGATTTAATTTGATTTGATTAAATCAAATTCAAATATAAAAATTTTAATTAAATTAAATTCAAATATACTTGATATTTGATTTGATTTTAAAGAACTCTATTAATTATATTTAAATTTATTAAGAGAATTGCTATTTGCATCATAATTTTGCTATTTATACTATTAATTTAACTAGAATTAACCCTAATTCTGATCAAACTAATAGTGCAAATAGTAAAAACTATAGTGCAAATAGCAGTACCTTTTATTAAAATTAATTAATTATAGATAATACCAATCAGCCACATCTTTAATTATATAATTTATATTTTAACTAACCAATCAGAATTAAATATGTGAAACTAATAAAAAAAGATTATAGAGAATTATCTTTTTTAAATAAATTAATCTAAAAAAAATATAATAGTAATAGTATTATGATTGTGATTATACAGTATGAATCATCCTAGATAGCTTTCAAAAATGCAGTAATATAATTATAATACAACCACTATATATATATACAGAATCAATATTGGATTACAATCACTAAAAAATAATTAATAATACTATATATAGTTAAAAGAGAGCCAATAAGTGGTACTAACTAATTCATATTACTGCAATTTTAAAAGCTATTCTAGATGATTTGTGATTATATAGAAGTATTTTTATATTAAAAAATTGACTGCATAAAATTATGTAATTATATAAAGTTTGTGATTATATAGAAGGTGATTGTATAGAGGTATAACTATATATATAATTATATATAATTATACAAGAGTATATAAAATATATGAGTATATAAAATATATAAAAGTATATAAAATATATAAAATTTATATAATTTATTTTATTAATTATTTTAACTCTTGTAATTGTTAAATAATTAACTTTAAAACTCTTAGGAATGGCTATATTGAGGATTTAAATATCAGCTCTCTTATTTAAAAAATCAAATTTACTATGCCTTTAATTGCTCTTGCAATATTTTACATTTTTTAAATCTATAAAAGCAAAATAGTTTTAAAAAAGCATCATTATATTGTAATAATGTCAGAATTTATTTTATTAATTAAGCTATATTATGGGTTAAAACCCAACTAATGATTTACTGCACTTTTCAAATTACTGTGTTCATCAAATGATCACCCATCACATGATAATCTGGAAATTTTTCTTAAATTCTTATTTTTTTACAAATTTCTACTCAAATATTAACAATTCCAAAGATATTCCAATTCTTTACCAAAACATCCATTAGTATTCTAAATTTTGTAATTGCAGGACCAGACAATCACAAAAATTTCCATGTTTTTTTTTGCTAATTTTAAATATTCCCATTATATTCTATTTTTTTATAATATTTTAAATGTATACTAGATTTTTTAGTTTTATAACCAAGCAGTAATAAAATTTTTCAGTTTTATTTTTGTTAGTTGAACAGGCAATTATAGGTTTTTTTTTTTTTTGAACTTATGTAAATTAATACTAATATGCAGTTTAGAATGCTATGTTCTTTTAGTGAAGACCTTAAGTGGTGCATAGTCTACTTGTACTATGATAGTTATTCAAAAAAAGAAATTGCATCCACCTTATACTTAAGCATATCATTAGTAAATAAAGTTTTGAGAATATACCGAAAGTGGGGCACGGTTATTTACCTATGGCACCAAATTCCTGGGCCCCGAAAAACTTTTAATAGAAATGATATAAATGTATACATGGTTTTATTTGTTTTATAGTAATTGCACAATTATATATTTATTTTTACTAATTATTTTATAATTTAGATTTTACAGCAGATTGTTAGAGAAAAGGTCGATTGGTACTTGGATGAGTTTGTTTGTAAAATGGAACAACGTACTGAAAAATCTGTATCAATCCTGATATTATAGAGATCTCTGGCTTATTGTGGCATCACACGAAAAAAAGTTTTTTTTTTTTTTTTTTTGTCTTTTTAAATATTACTATTCTATAATACACATATATTTTTGAATAGCTTCAAAAAGAAGCCAAAGAACGAAACGAACTTGTGAGAAGTGCATTTATGGTACGTATTGATGCCCATTATCGGCCCGAGCAATTAATCTTCATAGATGAGTCTGCTAAAGACAAACGTACTATAACAAGAGGTTATAGTTATTCGGAAATAGACATCTGAGCAAAAAAAAAGTGATATTGTACGTGGAGTTAGGTATACAATTTGCCCAGCCTTAACTCTATAAGGAATAATTGCTGCTGATATTGTAGAAGGCAATTATACGAAACTTAGATTTAATGATTTTGTTATAAATCAAGTGATATATATTATCACTAACTTGTAGATTTCAATCATACCTAAAAATTTGGATTTTTTTTTTGAACTATAGTTACCGCAAATGAATTCGTATCCATATAACAATAGTGTTTTAGTTATAGATAATGCATGTATTCATCACGACAATGAATTGTATAAATATTTGGATGCATTCGGAGTGTGTGTAGAATTTTTTCCATCTTACTCATCTGATCTTAACCCAATTGAGTTAGCATTTTCTTTAATCAAAGGGTATTTGCAATGATATTGCTATTTTGTTAAAAATTCATATGATCCGAAATATTCGCTATTAGTCGCATGTTCACAAATTGCACTGGAGATTGCAAAAAATTTCTTTGAAACTTCTGGATACAAATAAGATGATTGTATTCTGCAATATTATTAATAAATACATAAAAAAAATTGAAAATCTAAAACTAATTAGTATTTTTCAAAACATTGGCCTTCTTACTATCAATCAGTGTTTCAATAACAATGACCAACTTGATACATTCCAACAGAGTTACCCATTTCTGCTGATTTTTGATAATACATATACATGAATGTCTTATTATATTCACCCTTTTCAACTCCAATTCTAGTTTGATAACAATATCCATTATATACCCATATGAATTCTCTATTTCTGCTGCTTTTTGATAATTTGTGAATGCCTTATATTCATTCTTTTCTTATATAACTGTATGAATTTCCTATTTCTGCTGATTTTTGATAATTTGTGAATGACTTATGTTTGTTCTTTTCAGTTTAATTCCATTTTGATATAATATCCAACATCATATGAACCCCGTATGAATTCACATTTCAGTAGATTTTGGGTAATAGATGACTGTCTTAAAACAATCTTCTGTTCCAATTCTATTTAGATAACAATTCATCTCTGGTGACTTTTTATTATTCAAAGGCTTTGTATTCATCATGCTCGACCAATTTCACTTTTAGATTCTAGTAGTCAAAGACTTTGCATTCATTTTTATAGGTTCCAATTCTGTTTTTATAACACCAACTAACTACTCTAATTGTAACTGTATAAAACCACCCACATGTGCAATTTTTTATTTACATTCATATTTATGCAAATATCTAAATTCGCAATAAGATTAACTTTATTATTATAACAAGCTAAATATTGAAATGCCAAAAAAAAAAAAACTTACAAATGATATATTTATAGTTTATAGTACCATCATCTTTACTAAAAGCATATATTTTGCTACAAATATATAAATTTTGCCTAATGTTTTATTTGTTGACTAATATATGTAATATATATTGAATATATTGAATGTTGAGATATTTCCACTATGCATTTCATATAGGTAAAAAACAAATGCACTATTACCAAAACTTTTCCTGCTATTATAACCAAAAATTAGATACCATTTGTCTATCTTTTGGTATTTGATATTTTTCCGAATATTCATGCAGAGTTTCTTGTGCACTGATAGTATCTACTCTACATAGTGCAAATTGCTCATCCGTTAGTCTTCTCAATTGTTTTACTAAAACTCATTGCATGTTAAATTTTTCCAAAAAATTTTAATAATAACACACAGTTTCTTCTTTTTCATCTACTTCCTTTAAAAACTCTTTCATAGAAGGTAAAGTAGAAGAGATATATGGGTTAGGGTGAATAGTTGGAGGTTGCATAGAAATATGGGGTGATGTTTGATATACATTATATGGGGTTGGTAATAATGGTTGATGCAATTGAAATGCTTGGGATCTGAAAGCCAAATTATATTGTAGTAGCAATGGTGGTAAAACTAATGGTGTTTGCTGTGGTGGAAATGGTGACAAAACCTGTGCTTGTAGTAATAGTTGTAACAGTTGCACTTAAGGTGATGATAGTTGTACAAGTTGTATTTGTGGTGGTTGCATAAATTGTACTTGTGATCGTTCAGGTGGTATTTGTGATAGTTGTGGTTGTATAGATTGTGCTTGTAATGATGGTAGTGATGATAAAACTGATGGTGACATAGTCGGTGGTGATAGTAAATGAGAGGATAATGTTGAACGTGGCTTTTTGGATGATATACTGGCATAGAAAAAAAGAGGATGCGTAGGAGGATTTTTGATTGTAGCCAGTTCTTTGTTCTAAAAAAATATACATAAAGTAAAATAAATTTTTATAAACATTACTACAAATATTATAATTTACTATATCAGATGCCCATATCGAGAGCATCATAAAAGTAATTCTCACATACAGGTCTTTGTAGTTTTCTTTATTAAGGTAGAGACGGTTGTGCACATTACAATGGTATTCATTCCTAATTTTTAAAACATTTTCAGCGATTTCTTTATCATGTGATGATAAAGATGATACACCTGGAACTCGATTATTATTTTTAAATTTTTTTGGTTTTTCAGTATCTTTACATTTGCTTAAATCTAATTCCTACAAAAAAATTAATTCATAATGATAATATTATCATAAGAATATATGTTTCAGAGCCAATTGGTGGCTATAACTAGTATTGATCAGGATCGTATATTTACTTATAAATGTATATGCATACCCAAACCCTTTTGATGTACATATATAGGTATGTACGCAGTGTTGAAAATTTGTTGTGCACGTATTGTTATTTGCACAAAATTAATAATATACTGTGCAATGCACAAAAAATAAAATAACATTTATATATAAAAAAAATTTGCTGCACAAAAATTTTGTGCAGAATTTTTAATACTGAATTATGTATGTACATATTACATATATAGGTATTTACAGTACATATGTATCTTTTTTTTTCGTTTATTTTGAGTAGACAATTGCACAATCATAACATAAATTCCGATATTACTTTTTCTAGCAACTAACTTTATATATTCAGATTTGAACTTGATAAAATCTTGTTCATCGGCCAACTGAGTACCGGCACCTGTTTCTCTTTGCGTTTTGAATATTACAGAGTAATCATTTGGCATAATGGTATTATCCTTAGTTACTATAAGAATTTTATTATGAATGGATAAAAGAAATTCATCGACTGTAGATACAGTTTCTTTAAACCATTTAGTGGGTAGTGAATTTTCGTCTGCTGTTTTAACAAATAATTTATAATCTACTACAAACTTGGGTTCCTCATCTTCACTACTCATTTCATCTTCGTTAACTCTATCTTCACTTGCTGCTACAGACGTTGGTAGGAAAGGTGATCTAATGATTTCCTATAAAATAAAATAATTATATATTAATAAATATATATAATATAATAATTATATATATTTGTAATAAAAAAGAATATATTACTTTGTTATTTCCTTTATTTTTTTTTAATGTATCTGCATTTTTTTTAACATTACTGTGATTCAATTTGATTAAAACATTGTGGCATTATCCACAAAAAGAAAACTGAACTGATTTTTTCAAATTTATTTGATAATTATATTCCATAACTCTTCTATGAATATATTCAAACTTGGGTGCAGCCAAAATAGGTTCATAGATGCATGTATACGCTTGTCTCACTTTTTCCATTCTATTATTTTTTGTTGGAACTAGAGATAATTTACATTTACAAGTAGTATTGTGCAAATTGACTGCACAGTACAGACACTTCCTGCACCCAAAGCAAGTTCTATGGTAATATTTAAGTTTAGTGTTGGCAGCATCTGCCATTATTATGTTTGATTTATTTGGCAAAAAATTTTTGGATTTATTTGGAGAAAAATTTTGAATTTATCTGGAAAAAATATTTGGATTTATTTGAAAAAAAAAAGATTTATTTTGGAAAAAAATCAAAAAAATTACTATTTTGGGGAATTTGGATTCCAGATTCCCAGATTCCCGTGTGGTGTGTGATGCATGAAATTCGATGATCACAGCAATTTGAAAAGCGCAGTAAACCGGGGTAAAATCGCCACCCAAAAAAGTTCAAAAATCATGATATTGTCAAGTCCATCATGATTAGGATAATGATATTTATAAAATATTAATTGATTAAGTGATTTTTTTTCTTCAATTCTTCAAAATGAAAAGCGCCTCGACAAACCAATGATTCTTTTAAAGGTATAAAATTCAATAAATACAACAAAAAAAATTGTTGAGGAAAGCATAACTGATACGTAATAAATCCAAATCGTAACAAATGGCTCGATAGTATTAATAAAAACTTTGAGCCATTGCATAAATTGGAGGAGGATTATAATCATTTTAAAAGGCAATGGAATATTCCAAATACTTAAAAAACCGTAATCATAACACAGTCGACTTTGGGTATAATAAACCCTCCTATAACGAACTCTGGATATAATGAACTCTAAATTTTGAAATTTCATAATAGTTCGGTATAAAAAGTGGCATGGTTCTTAAGAAAACATAATATATAATTTTATATAACGAATTTTTTTTCCTTCCAAAATATTCAGTTCGTTATAGAAAGAGTTGACTGTACTTTCTGGCTGTAACAAATATTACGATTATTGGAGTTTATTCGAAATAAACAAATTGTTTATCGTTATTGTTTTAGTCTATAAAGTTTTTTTCGTTTGTATTTTTTGTTCAAGTTACATGATTTTTTGGTGCTCTATATTTGTCCCCGTGATGTTCGAAACTTTTTTGGGTGGCGATTTTACCCCGGTCCATGAAATCCAAGTGAAGCAGATTATATATATTTTTTATATAACTAACACAGAATCTTTAAATATTTATCACAAAAAAATGCAGAAAAGGTAATTTTTAATGCACGGAATTTTTGCAGATTTTGATTTTGTCACGGACGGAATTCCTGCACCCAACTAACTCTTACCCTAATTTTTATCAAATAGTCAAAAACATATGACGGGTTTTTATTTTTAACTACCCTTGAAATTTCTTGGGAAGAACCTTCAAATGCTAGAGAATTTGCGAAATGATACTTAGAAATTAAACTGACAACTTCTTTATTGTTAAATAAGTCTAGAAAGCAAATTTTACTTATAAGTGCGTCGATCATTTGACACGCTATTAAAATTTTACGACATATCGATCGATTGATAAGACATTTACGCGTGCATGTAAAATTATTGTGCTCAAAGGTTGAAATTACATGAAATCTAATTTAATTATATAATACGGCATCAACTATTTTTTAAACCGTTTCTTTTACAATATTATGAGGAAACTGCATTTTTCAACAAGATCGAATGCCCACACATATATAAAAGAATAATATGAATATAATTGATAAGTTGTGTTTTGTGAAGAATTGTAAGCATGTCCTTCTTTGGAGAAAAACAAAGTCTTTTTTATACTTTCTAATCAATTAGAGGAAAAAAGTCTTTAGTTCTAATTAATTAAAGAATGACGTTTTCTTTTATTTATTCCTATATATGTTTGTCACAACTTTGTTTTACAAGACAAAGACAAATATGCCAACCCAATTTTATCATTAACTCTTATTTGTCTTCTTATGTCGTTTAAGGCTTTACTTTAACAATTAATCCAGCACAACACATAATATAATGTACGAAATCCGAGACAAACTAAGCTTTTAATAATTTCTTAAAAAATATATATAACACAAAAATACTATATATATACATATAGATATTGTAAATTTTCAACAATTACTATAAATCGCACCAGTGGTGTATAATTTTTATTATATAATTTTGTTGTCAATACTTAAGGTTAGGGTTAAAAGTTATTAAGATAAAAGTAGAAGCTATAGACTAAGAATTAAAGCTTAATACATTCGGTCTTGGTAATTTAGACAGTTTTTAGAAATAGCAACTGTGGTGTTATATACCACTGGTGATTTAACAATGCCGTAAAACAAACTATGGAAATTGTAAAATTTCATATATAAAATAAACTATGGAATCTTTCTTTTCATTTATCTCTAATTAATTGAAATTGGCAGACTATTTGCGTTGCCATTAATGTTATTTGTAGTGCTTTTACGATTTTTCTTGTCTTCTTGTGCTTCTACAATCATTTCTAGTCTTTTTACAATCTCTCTTAGTGCTTCTACAACAGTTTCTAGTCTTTTTATAATCTCTTTTAATGTTGCCGCAATTTTTAGTTCTTCTTGCGGTTCTCTTTGGTTTTCTTGTAATTTTCTAATTTCTTCTTGAAATTCTTTAATTTCTTCCTGTAGTATTTTTATCTGACGAGTTAATGCATTAACTACATCTTTCGTTTCATTAATTGCAACCGATATCACCCTTGCTTGCTTTTCTAGAGAATTTTTTACACTATTGATTACTTCTTTGTTTTTGATTCCAACTTGATCCACTATTTTTTCTATTTGCTCTTTCTGTTCTTCTAATTGGTCATATATCAATTTTCTTATATGCATGTTAGAATTATAATTCAAATAATAAGAAATTATCGTTGTAATTTTTTCAGGTTCATTATCACCAAAATGTTCAATTAATCTGCTTAAAGATAGAATACAAATTGCAAATACTATTTTGGTAAGATTAGAATTGGTACTAATTAAATATCCTGATAAAATAGCTGGATAAATAACTAGTGTAGAAATAATAGCACGATTCAAGGCAAAAATAAGCCCTTCCAATCGATTCATTGCGTTATTATTCATGACAGAAATAAGATAATCCAACTTATTCCATGGAAACTCTTCTTTTTTTTGAGTATCGTCCTTTTGTTTTTTAAAACAACTACGAATTGAATCTTTCAAATATTTAATTGATGTTTTAAAGAACTTAATCCACTCAAATTTTTTCTTTTTGTTCATTTCTTCTATCTTTTTCGTCATTTTTCGATTAGATCGAAAATAATATATGAAACTTAAAAAACTTAGCCCAAAACATGTACAACATACTGAATAATTTAATGTATTCAGCGATTGACAGTTATCAATTCCGAAATTGTTTACGCATAGTTTACCAATTTGCTTAAAAGATAGCATATTGTCAGAATCCATATCATTTCCAATTACCAATTTACTATATCCAAGCATTAGAATTATGGACAGTATGGCCACTAACAAGTAAACAAGACTTATCATGAAATACGTCTTTTCTTTCACTTTAAGAAAAGAAATAAAATTCAGTTGAGATTTAAAAAAACAAGTTATCACGGATACGTATCCAAATACTAAATTAATGGTTGTCTTATTATAGTGTGATAACCATTGAAATGCACTAAGAGATGGGTTCATAGCAATGGAAAAAACTATGATAGAATCATCAAACCAGTTTATAAAGGATGATGGGTTTCTTTTTTCATTTTTAAACCCTTTGAAGAGCAAAATTACTACCGTTGGGAGTATTCCAATAATAATTGTATTAATTGCATCATTTCCTGGATCATATTGATTATTTGATGCCATCTTATGAATAATTAGTGATTGAAAAACACGATCGTGATGTCAAATATTTCAGCGCTACTAACGTTAAGTGTTCTTAAAAAAGAGTGCCACTTTTTGAAACATATTTGCATAAATACGTAATCACTCTGTCATCATTTTTGATCAGGGTCACTTAAAAACGATAGTTATTAAAAAAGGGGGGGCCAAATTTTCTGACTTCTGAAACACCCGGTAGCACGTGCATGTTGTGCTCTTTGTCTATTATTCACCCGTTAACCCTTAATATCAAATATAATAATAATTATGATAATGACTTTTAACTATAGATGGGTTAATGTGCACACAATTGTTAAATTTAAATATGTATAACACTAACACAAGATTAATCGCTTGTTCATAACTATTATAGCGAAAACCTTATGGTCGCATGACGGAGATTTATTTTATTTTTTTTTCCTTATTAGATTTTTTCCGGGCTTATTACCCGAGAATTCATCCAAAAATGTAGTTTGAATTTTAAAACTAAAGAAATGCGATAAAAGTGATTAGCAACAAGTAATCCTCGTCATTTCATCGTAATATAACGCATTTATTCCACTGTCACATTTAAGGGGCAAAGCATCTATATATGCCACTGGGGTTATTTCATTATTTTCCTGTCCCGGCGAAAACAATTATTTATAGCAAATTTTAGTTTTTAGTGTCGGTCTGAAGTAAATAAATTTTATGTAAAATAATGTAAGCGTAAATACGTGTCGCAGATCATAGATTAAATGAAATGAGGGGTTTCTATTTGACCCTCTAAAACCCATTTATACTTGTTTATTATAAAACTTGCTTCTAAACCCTAATCCTAACCCTAAAAACAATCACCCCAAAAATTTGTATTTTTCGGTGGCTTGTCTATTTTACACTATTCCTCATTTCATTTTAATCTGAATTCATTTTAATCTGCCGCAATACGTTTATGCTGAGGCATAGATCACATAATCTGAAATTGTTTTATATCCCCGAATTTAAAGTTTGGCTTGATTTAGAGTTAGAAATATTAACATTCTTCTAATTCATAAAAATAAAAATACAGTAATTCCAAAAATTAAATCTTTTAATAAATGTAACGTACTGAATGATTAGATTGTTAGAGAACTAGTACATTATATTCCATTGCGGCTAATTTTTTTATACAATTAATAGCATTCTAGGTAAGTATATAAAAAAAAATCAATAAACATAAAAACTACTCTAATGCTTGAATTTTTGTTCAATGAAATTTTAAAATTTTAAATTAACAAATTAATACCATCCAACCAATAAAAAAGTAAAACAAGAATAATGGATATACAACTAATGTACGTCTATTTCCCAAATGAGATGTCGTGAGAAAGTTAACTGAAGCTAATAAGGTTGATAAAATAATTAATAAAATCGAGTAATATAAGTCAAATCCAATTAAAATGATTCTTACCCCAAGATGACCATGCGAATGCCATTATTGATAAAGGTAATCTTATATAGTGATTCCTTATAACAAGATTAAAAAATGCAACTACAACTAACGGAAAGATGCAATAACCAAGAATGCAAACGCTTTGAAAGAATGAGCTAAGTTTTTTTTTAGTCAAAAAAAAAAAAAAATAATCATAATTAATTAATCATTAAGGAAACCTTTTGAATAAATTACTGTAATTACAACATACATAGTGCCTCCTAAAAGTTTCGCGTTTATCGTTACAACAACCGCTCCACACCACACAATAACGAAAACACCAGTGAACACCATAACTTTTTGTGAATCATCAGTATTTAAACTTAGGACCCTTATATCATGATATTAGAAGAAAATTAAATAACCATTATTAAAAAAAAAAAAAAAAAAAACATATATAATCTTCCTAAAAACTACTTACAAGGCCAGCGCCAGACAAAGAATTAATGGGCCCCATAAATCCCCTTTCAAATAATATTGAAAATACGTTCTGATTTAATCAAACATAATGTAATAAGATCAAATAAAAATAAAATAAATTTACAATCTCGTAAGACATCTGTGTTGCCTTTAGGACTAAGGACATGTCGCAATTTAAGCCCAATATTCCGCAAGTCTCTAAGCTTTAAAATATTAAAAATATTGAAATTATCAAATTAATTTTACACGAATTAAATATGAATTAATTAACCTGTAAATTTTAACATACAATAGTTTCCGATACTGGCTCATCAAGAGTATCTGCAGCAAAACGTCTGGGACTATAACCGATCGTCCCTGTCACTGAAGGTTGTGGAGTTATATTAATGGTTGTCGATTTTGGTGCACTTTTGGGCTTGTTAGACGATACACGAGCATAAGGTGACGAAAGGTCTACATCATCAGGCTCTATTATCGTATGATGATCTGTTGGAATATCTGATGAAATTTCAAAGGGATTAATATACGTATCCCCAAATGTGTGAAGAGGCGAATCACTTTCTGATAAAGGAGTTAGCGGCATAGCAACTGTTTTTCTGTGAATTTCAAACAACAATGTCAGAAAAAAAAAAGTTAAATATGACACGCACTTTAATTAATGAATTTATGGCCTTTGTCACATTTCATCAGGCTAACTTGGCTTTTTTAGATCAGCACATATGGTTACTTAGATTCTCGTATCCTATTTTTTATGTTTCCTTTTGTCCAAACTTGTTTTATTTAAATTTTTCGTTGTCCACGTATATTAATAAGCCTGAGTCGAAATTGACAAGGATACCAGATATTTAACTTACTTGTATTCACACGGCTTTAGTCTTTATTTTACAACTAGACGAGAAATATATTTTTATTGGGTAAATTCGATAAATTAAATTACATGACAGCCAATCACAACATTAC